TTCTCAGGTAACACTGAAGATGCCAAAACCATGTGGCATTCATTACACAGGCCGCGCACAGTGGGGGTAAAGGAGCCTGACTGGCAGAAAGCTGGGCAGCTAAAAGATTTATTATTAGAAGATACTTATACTGAAGTGTTTCAAGGCAAAGTTTCCATGGTATTACCTGCACAGGAGACTATGTGTCTTTCTCCTGAGGAGCTACTGGTAGATTCAAACTGCCAGACAAACGCACCCTTTGGGTTTGCAGCACAAATCCCCAGGGACTAGGCTACCAACCCCTCTCTGTGGTGTCTGATAAAAGAAGCAGAACAGACACACACAGGAAGGCAGAGGCCACTGAAGAGACTGCTACAATAACAATGATCCAAACACATGGGAACAAATATTGATTTATTAATTTTGCTGTATGTATTCTCAACAATTACAAAATGAATACATTTTCTTAAAAGATGCATTTACAAGCAGCTGAGGAATATCTGGGACTAATGAGAAAGAAGAACTCTCCCCTGGAGCCAGTGTTATGATCTGGACTTCTGCCTTCAAAACTACAAGAAAATAAATTTCTGTTCCTGAAAGCTCCTACTTTGGTATTTGTTACCACAACATGAGTAACTAAAGTGATGGCTTACTGATTGCCTCACTAAAGGATATGCTACGTGTTAACTAGTTTGAGTCCCCAACAGATCAGCTGTTCCGACAATCCCAGGTCATGCTGAAGTCATCTCCATGGTGGTCAAGTCTCTTCCTGTGCACTTGGCAATAACTCTGGTTTGTACATAGTTTGTGTTGACCTTGAACCAAAACCCCTCTACCTTGCAGCTGCCCCACGCGCCCCTGGGAAGCTCACCTGCTCCATGAACTCAAACACGGCCGGTGCGGCAATGGTGACTGACGCCTCTTCAATGATCTTCTGATGTCGCCGCTGGATGGAGCAATCTCGGCCAAAGAGTGACACAGCATTTCCATACTGGTCAGCGAGAACTTGGACCTCCAGGTGACGAGCGTGCTGGGCCAGCTTCATGAGGAAGATGGGAGAGCCCGGGATCTCACTCTGCACCTGGGGGGAAGAACAAGGAGCCCACTGTTCCCAGAGACACAAGGCAGGAGGCAGGAAGGTATCTGGAGAGAGCAAGAACACCGCAGTGATGTGGCCTGAGGACTTCTGCAACATTGCCCAGCTTCTCCTTTCCCTTTACTTCTCACAAAGATATAACACTCTCACTTGTTGGGTTTTTTTTTAGGTAAACATGAAAATATATATTGTAGAAAATGAATTTCACCCAAATCCCATCTTCCAAAGATACTGTGTTATCATGAATTTATGGGGTAGAGATGGGAAAGGTCTGGCATGCAAATGAAAGTAAAAGTCCTCTGCTCCATGCTGCCCTGGAGAGGGCGACATCAGGCTGCCCCTTGGAGGCAAGGATTTTTGAAGCTCTGTTTTACATATTTTGGGCTCATGACCAGGAGGAGTCCGGCAGAGGGACATCATGCTTGGAAGGGTGGAACACAACACAGGAGAGGAAGATCACAGATGAGATGGACTGATTGAGTGACTGGAGTAATGGGGACATTACTTTACAGTAAGACTGGCTTAGAATCGAGCAGACTTCAGAGTACATAGGGTCTCTATGAGTTAATGGCATATAACAACAACAACAACATTTCTTTACATATTAAAGTGGACAGAGAGCAGGGGTGGGAGGAAACAGTGCAACCATGAATGAATTTTTTTTAAGTGAACGGGGGGGTTGTTGTTGTTAAGTGCCATCGAGTTGTAGGGGGGTAGGGAAGAAAATGTGCAACAATGGATGAATGAAAATCCAACTTTTCTGTAAACTTTTGTTAAAATCACAATTAAAAAAAATATTAGTCACCTGTAACGTTTCCTCAGGCAAAATGAGAAACAGAAACAATAAAATTTTCCTAAAAAGAGATATGTTATATTTCATGTTTAATTTGAAGTACACCTTTTCTACATTTTGGTCTTAAATGCCTTTCTATTCAGAGTTATAAAATTGTAGATTGTAATAATGATACCATTCCCCCTAGGGCGTCACTTGGGAAAACAAAGAATTGCTTTTTAAAAAAATTTTATTTCTTATAAAGGGTGGGGCAGCTGATGGAATGAGAAGGAAAAGAATAGACAATTTTTGCATTGGAATAGGTGATAGGAATGTCTATCTTAAATGAGTAGAGAATCAGGTATTACGTGTATTGCAATTAACAGTCTGAAACAAAACATACACTATGGACTAAATGGCTAGAAGGAGGAAAGAGAAAGAGAAAATGAAGAAGAAGAAACAGGGAAGATGTATAAGGGAAAAGCAATATAAGAATTTACTCAGGCATTGTAATAAGTTAATTTCATCAATCCATGGCAATTAATCCCTATGTATGATTATATGGGAAAATCAATGTGATTTGTAAACTTCCACTCAAATAAAATGGATTCAAAACAACAACAAAAAAAATCTGTATTTCTTCTCTACACAAAGTAATACACACACTTCTTTAAACAAAAACAGGATCAAAATTAGGTGCAGCAGAAATGTTATTTCTCTACAAGGACATCAGCTAGTGATGGTTAAAAATCCTGCAGCAATGATTATGTGTAAATCGCTACCTAACTTGGGAGGAACTGGAGAGCATTATGCTGACTGAACTAACTCAGTCCCATAAGGACAAATAGTGTATAAGACCATTATCATAGAATGTGAATGAGGATCCAAGGAGGGGGAACAGAGAGGTGAGGATGGGTGGTGGAGGTCGGGGTGGGGGGTTAATCACAGGCCCACACAATATGATGAGTGGAGGGAGGGGCAGGTAAAGGAAATGGTAAAGATCTGTGTGAAAACCAATGTATATGAACTTTGTAAGTGAACCGGTATAAAACAGAAATTTATATATATATCTCCCCTACAAACATACACCATGTTTGACTGCTTGGACTAATTTCTAAGACAAAAGGTTAAGTGAGAGGGGCAGGGGGTGGGGTAGGGAATAAGCTGCAATAAAATAAAAGGTGGTGTCCCCTATACTAAAAAATATAGGTCCCATTTATACTGTAATAAAAACAAAAGTGTTTGAACATTTTTATTGTCAAAGTGATACAGAGACATCTGAAAACTCAAGATGCACTACTGTCCAATCAGAACCATCACACAGCTGACCCTTCAGCAGGTCTCATGGGAGAAGACTGCCCAGCTTTCTTCCTCAGAGCCAGTGGCAGATTCGAACCGCCAGAGAGTAGCTGCCCTTGGGTTAGCACTGCAGCTCCCTATGCACCAGAACCCTCATCTCTGAGACGGGGAAGGGGATTTTGAGGTGTTGACTGAAATGAAATTCTTTTTCAATGTTTGCACTTTGAGAATAGTTTCATATTGCAGTTGGGTAATTACAAGCAAAAGCTTGTGATTAAGATAATCTGTAAATGTCACACTGGGTCCCACACTAGACCCTGAAAAAGAAAGAGGGCATTAGTGGGGAAACGAGTCAGCATAAATTCTAGATTTAGTTACTAGACATGCTGTGAATATTAATAATCTCTTGGTTGTGACATAAAGTGACACCAACAAGGGATATTAATATTAGAGGAGCATAGGTGAAGAATACATGGGAGCTCTGTGCCATTATTGAAAATCCCCAGCTGGACAATGAACAAGTGATAGAAGAACTGATGCCTTTGAGCTGTGGTGTGGGAGAAGAGCAGTGAACATCCCATAGAAGAACTGATGCCTTTGAGCTGTAGTGTGGGAGAAGAGCAGTGAACATCCTGTAGAAGAACTGATGCCTTTGAGCTGTGGTGTGGGAGAAGAGCAGTGAACATCCCGTAGAAGAACTGATGCCTTTGAGCTGTAGTGTGGGAGAAGAGCAGTGAACATCCCATAGAAGAACTGATGTCTTTGAGCTGTGGTGTGGGAGAAGAGCACTGAACATCCCATAGAAGAACTGATGCCTTTGAGCTGTAGTGTGGGAGAAGAGCA